TTTTTCACGAGTCAACGGACAATAGGAAGGGAATGCCGTGGCATCCGACGCTACCTCCCATTGTGATTTTTCCATCCGTCCGTTTCTTTCGCGAGACTTCGTCCATTTGTTCGCGGGATCGAAGTTTGCGGCTGTTTCACACAGCTATCGCGCCCGAAATGCTACAGGTACCGCTGTTCTGATAAATGGAAAGTCGACCGGCCACTACATACAGCGTCATAAATCGAAACGTCGTGTGATAGACGATCGTCGAATAAAGCCCTCTATAATTCCGGGTTATCTTATCCGCGACGTCTGTCGATGAGGAGCGATGAACACGTAGAAAAGATTTCTTGCGCTTTAGTCCCTCACTGAGTAACTGAATTCAGCAAAGCGGAAGAAATGGAATGTGAGAGAAATATAAAACGCACCAATTGTGCGCATAAATTCTATTGTTTCTGATCTGCCGATAGAGGTAAGAATACGCGAAATCCTAACCAGAATGGATCTGAATCATCGAGACGTGTCTTTGAACACGATACGAGGATCATGGCTGAGATCAATTCGTAAATTTTATTCTTGGCATAGTACGCTATCTTTCCAGATTTCATATTTGATACAAAAAGAACAAAAATCATGTCGCGAATGTCCAGAGATCTTGTAAGTGAATCGATTATGTAGGATGTTAAAAAAAAAACATTCAATCTTTATATGGTAGATAAGACACACTATACTGAGTAAAAAAAGCCTTAGTAAACATAGGTCGAAAGCTCAACCGTTTCTGAGATATAAACATTAGTTTTACTTAAGGTTTTTTTACTCAGTATGATGTGTCCTATTTACCACATAAATATTAAATGGTTCTTTTGAACATCCTGTGTAGTTTTATAAATTCATGTAAAATAGTAAGTATCATTTCGAAATTACGAAAAAGAGTAGAAGCAAACAGATTTCCACGAAATACGAAATAAATTAATATATCAAACCCACCTACTATTATTATTCATCCTCATTAATATTATAGATAAAAAAAAAGATTCGATGTTTTCAGTCCGTCTCGCAAAGAGTCGCCTAACAGGATCGTCTCGTTATAATCTTTCGATTCATCTCACTCGATGACAACGATGATCCCACGAGATACAAACAGTCTCCCGGAATCCGTAAACAGGCGGCATTTTTTTTCCCCCTCTCGACGAAACCGAAGGGAGATGCACACCGGTCCCGTGATCTCACGAGCATGTCTGTCTCGCCCACGCCTTACAAACGGTCGCGTTCGAAAACAAATCTTCCCTTTCCCAAACGCTTTACAGATAATTAACTGACATTAACGTTCCATTCGGGCGTGGTTACGTTCGCGGTTAGCTCGTATTTCTCGACGAGAGTCGGTGCATATGTGTTTTTACGACCGATAAGGATCGCTTTTCCAGCGAGATATTCCGCTGCTCCACGTGTGTGTACCTCGTTCTCCGCTATCCCAGTCTCGTCCTGGACAACGACTCAGACCGTCAGAGCGGATTACTGAATTCATTGGCTTCGTTTTGTACGGAGGACTTCGCCTCCACGTCGCCGACATCGTTTCTCCTTGGCTTCCGCGCAATTAAGGTCAACTCGACGATTTGTCGAGAGCGATTTCTTTCAGAGCTCGCGCACAGGAAAAAGGGCAAATGTATCTCGTAAAACCAACATGTGTTATTTGATAATATAATAACATTACGTGCTAACTTTTCTCTCTTACATGTTATGCAAGTGATATTGTTTTTGTGCACGTAGATAGTAATTAAATAACATACTATTCATAGCGTCTTAACGCGTATTAAATTATGCCAGGAACATTCTATAATATTACTCTTTGATGAAAATCAGCTGACAACCAGCTTATAAATAATATCAAATTAATTACATATGGAAATTGCCAAACATTCAGAAACTCTTAATTATCAAATTGCGTATATCGGAAATATATCGGAAACTCATTTACTAATGCGAGACATCTCTATTACGGCGTCTCGTATCGACTTAGAAATAAATGAAATGAGATCAAGTCATATAAGCGAAATTAAATCGATAGGTAGATAGATACAGAAGCTCGCGAATGGCGCGGCCACCCTCGCGATGCGTGTGGTGCGTTTGCCCGATTGGAAATCTGTAAGCGATACCGCCAATAAAATATACACGTACACTCGCAGCTTTGTGTGTAGAGGTGCCGCGTTACATTCCACGTGGCGTTCCCTGCACGGACGTCTCGCGCGTATTAATCTGCATAAACTCATTCCTATGCAAACGAAGAGATTCGACGTTGAACTAGGATATCACGGGCAAGCCTCCGCGGCTTACATCGCGGCTTAAACGAGCTTCTATACATGCGCACACGTGCAGGCGCATGACGTTTCGCGCGCAAGCTGTTGGTGTGGGTATAGATAAATATGGGATAGATATATAGAGAGATGTGTATAACGCACACTCGTGTGTATATCGTAAACGATACCGATCGTAAACGGAATCTCCTTCGCTGCGCGTCGACGGCATAATAATTGCGAAATCCTCTCGTTTCCCTCATGGTAGACGACACTGGCCGGCCAATCCAAAAGGACGGCGACGACGAGAAAAGTGGTACCTGCCTGCTGAAACGATCGCGCGATAATCTGTCCCCTCTGTAGTCTGCGAGATGAAAAGAAAACAATCGATGAATAATTTTGTGGCCGCCAGAGTGCTTACCGCGCGTCCTGGGGAATTGATTTCGACGGAGCGCATCGCGGGCGTTAAGTCCCTCATGAATACAATGAGGAGATAAAGCTTTTATGGCGGCCCGACGTATAAACAATACTGTTTTTCCGATAATTTTTAATTTAATACCTGGTGCTTAGGAAGATTAAATGTTTACGTGAGAAACGGAACATTTCGTTGTAGCAATGATATTTTGCTGATCAACGAATCTCTCTCTCTCTCTTTCTCTCTCGCTCTTATTGTACATCGTTACATTTAATTAAACATTGCGATACGACACTGGCCGGCCAATCCAAAAGGACGGCGACGACGAGAAAAGTGGTACCTGCCTGCTGAAACGATCGCGCGATAATCTGTCCCCTCTGTAGTCTGCGAGATGAAAAGAAAACAATCGATGAATAATTTTGTGGCCGCCAGAGTGCTTACCGCGCGTCCTGGGGAATTGATTTCGACGGAGCGCATCGCGGGCGTTAAGTCCCTCATGAATACAATGAGGAGATAAAGCTTTTATGGCGGCCCGACGTATAAACAATACTGTTTTTCCGATAATTTTTAATTTAATACCTGGTGCTTAGGAAGATTAAATGTTTACGTGAGAAACGGAACATTTCGTTGTAGCAATGATATTTTGCTAATCAACGAATCTCTCTCTCTCTCTCTCTCTCTCTCTCTCTCTTTCTCTCTCGCTCTTATTGTACATCGTTACATTTAATTAAACATTGCGATCATCATGCGGTCCTCCAGAGATTTGCTATATCGTACGCTTTATTTAAATTTTCTGTTATCAATTTTTCTTAAATATAAATTCGTCAAATAGATCAAATAATTTTTTTACCGTATTTTAATCTCAATAATATATTTTCATTGTCTATACATACAATATTAATATATTAGATAAACATTTCTATATATGCAAGACAACGAAAAAAAAAAATTATTCATTGAAAATAAACAAAAAATATTTCCCTGGCATGATTTAATTATCATCTTCGTAACAGAATGGTTTATCTCCATGCGTGAAAAATACACGAACGCGATTCGTTTACTTCATAAATATTCAATCACTCGATTATGGAAAATAAACCTACTGATATGATCGTCATTCATATGTTGGTACGAAAGTCAGCAAGCGCAATGCATCATGCCACTCGTTTCGAAGTCAAATAAGACCTACAATAAGCGTCCTACGATCGGCCGTAGAAGAGATTTTACATCGTCGCGTCGCGACTATAAGCTGCGGCATGTATCTTTAATGCGGAGCATGCGAGGCCTACGACCGAACGACTTCTTACTACCGTTCTCGCCATTACTTATTCACCGTCGGCGCAATTACTAGCGAATACTCCATCAAACTCGAGACACCTTCGTCACCGAGAGATGGAGAGAGCCGTGAGTTACGCTCGTCGTATACATATCTGACGTGTACCCAAGTTGCACAAAGTAGGAGAAACGCATTATCGGCTGATAGGCTCGTAAGCCAATAAGAAGTTATTATCGCGCGACTCTCGATCGCTTCTAGATGCCTTCCAAGCTCGATCTCCGATCCTGAAATATTCTCGAATTTATAATAATCATCCGCCTCTTCGAGCATGTTTACGTACAGCTAACACGCGTTCCATTCTCGTGTCATTCCTGGAAGGTGCATGACATGCGTCGCAGAAAGTCTAACTCCGTCTTCAATTCCTATAGAAAGGAAACGATTCCACGTGCGATGAATAATCGACATAAAACTGAATAAAGATTATACTTATTCTTAGATCTACGTGACATTGTAATATGATTCGTGCATTATTCTCTATAGAACTTTGATTTAATTAAAAAGTCAGGAAGGAAAAGAGCTAATGACTTTTTATATTAAATATATCCTTTTTTTTATGTTAAATAGAGCCTTTTTTGTTTTTACTTGATTTGATAAAACCTTTTCAAATATATCTAAGAGAGATTCGATACATGTAATAATAATATTTGAAAATTTCGAATTTCATACAAAAAAGAACAATTATATAATGTCAAGAATAGTTTTACAGCAAAATTTTTAAAATAAATATTTTTGCATTGTGTCACTCTTGAGCAAGGAATTAAAATTTTCAAATATACGCCACGCTAGTCGCGAAAATGTCCTCGACATTCAGGGTGGCATTCACTCCCGCGATAACTACGCGCATCATTTCTTCACCAAGGCGAGCTCATTTTCCGGGAGCAGTCAACAAAACGACCCGCTTTGTCGGAGCGTCTTCCCAGCTCGGCAATTGTCAGGCATGAAATAACGCGATTGCGCTCTTCATTTTTTGTTTCAGGTTGACGAGGCAGAAATGGCACGGCGGGAATCTCGGTGAGGAAAGGGCGAGGGTGAAGCCCTCGCAGGAAACGGGAGCTATGGTGAAAAGCTTGGATTTCCTCGCCAGAAGGGCGCCACCTGCCGTCCACCTTTTCATCGTTTTGCTCGCGCTCGCCCCCGCTTACCATGGCGTGGACCTCTGTAAGTAGCTCCTAAGCTCTAATCCGCATGCCGCTTATAGTACCCATCGCTTCGCGTCGTGAAACTTTGCGGCTATAGCTCTTTGGCCCGTGCCGCGCGCGCACACAAGTTGTTTCGTTTATAAGTTATTAACGACGCGGAGGTTGCGCGACCATCCTCCCTCCCTCCCCTTGCAGAACTTACGCCGCCGCAGTCGACGAACTTTCGATCCCGGATCGGCTTTGACCGTGGTCATTAGGGTATCTTGTGTATCTGAAGACGCTGCGTCTTATCATTTGAATCGCGTCCACCTATATTTAGCGATGTCTCGTGAGTTTTCGAGTAGGCGGAGTTTGAACATTTTCATCTCGATAAGAAATGATTATTGTACTTAAATCTGTATTTAATAATATATCCTTCATTACGGAAAAAATTTTGATGAATAATATAGAATTAATGCTTAATAATATCATTTGTGTTTATTTTCATTTAATATCAGTACCTTTTATTTTCAAAAAATTCGAATCGCGATATTTGATACATTTGATCAGTGTTATTGTAATTTTTAATTAATATCATAATCGGTTTGAATATATATATATATACTTTCATGAAAAAGGATAGCTTTATAAATCAAAAAGATTACCTCTCACATAAAGAAAATCTCCCTTCCGAGACGGTGTAGAGTACCCCATCTTATCGTATTAATAATAAGTAATCGCCTTGTTCCGCGAAGCCTTGTTCGCGAGAAACAACTTAATAGAAATAGATTTCCGGACACAGAAGAGAAATCGCATCGTAGCCGCGATAAAGGAACGCTTAATAATTGCGCCCTTCCAAACATCCTCAACGATTTCCTCCCTTTCCTCGTAATTTATCTGCGCTCCAATAGTTGGGAAATAATCGATGATGTTTTCTCGAGTCTTGCTGTCTTTTACCGGACATTCACCAAGAGTAGAATTATATGAAGTGTCTTGCCGTCAGACGTCTTAAGGATTAAATGGGGGTAGAAATCGATGTCTCGCGCCGAGAGGGAGAGGGAGAGGGAGTGGTATCGTCGGAAGAACACTGCAAACTTTCGCCGGTATTAATGGCCACCTACATGCCCGTGTTCTGTTCGTTGGCTTAGCGCGGATTCCTTCCGTTATGCTCCCCGGGCACAAAGCTGCATCCTCCTCCCTCACACCGCCTACAAGCGGACCGCGCTACACGCTACATCTGCACTCGATATCCGGGCATTAGGCATTATCGTTGTCGGCCGGGTGTAACGTTCTGTACGTACGTACATACGTCGTCGGACCCGCCCAAAGCTACTTGAAATTTTAACAGTTTCCGTGCCGCGTAATGGTATCATTACTTGGCGTGTAAACCGTAATCGATGCCGCGCTGCATCATGCACATGGGACTCAAGCTCCGGGCGTTTACGGCTCCCCCGACCGACCGGGTCTCGTCGTGCCCGAATTAGTTACGCTTCGATATGCGCTCCTTTGTCGAATTACGAGGCCTCGACGTGTGTACCGTACATACGTATCGTCTGTGAATTTACCAGCTTTGACACAATACGCGCGACGGAGCATCCGGTCCGTTAGAGTGAACGGACATGCTCTGTGTTTCCGAGACAAAGGGCCGATAACGCGTGGGCGGTTAATGGCGACTTGAAAAAAAACAATCTAGTACGCCGGAAGAATATCTAGACGGCCGAGTCTTTGCCGACGAAGCCGGTCTTGGAGATGGACCTCTTGCCGTCGAAGGTGATTGAGGTCTCCCGGCGCAGTCCGGAGTCGATGATCGGCGTTATCTTCTTCTCCTCCTTCAGCGGCTCCTTCTCGTCTCTGGAAAAGCATCGAATGCAATATTAATCGGACGACCGTGACTTCATCGGTTGTCGGAGGGTTAAAGGGGACTTAAAAAAAAAAAAAAAAAAAAAGAAAAGAAAAGAAAAAACGCGAAATGTATTTTCTATCGTCCCTAATGATACCGCCGTGACGCGGACGATATGAATGCGAACACATACGTCATACTTTGTTCGAACTTTATTGCACATGCGGACGGATCGCGGGAACGCCTCTCGAAAATGCGCGAGCCGGAGAGACCGGAATAATGTATGCAAAGTAGACGGTATCGTTTCTTCGATGGCCCTTAACCCTGTCATTGGGCGTTTGGTGCTGGTCGAAGTAGATACGCGGAAGGAGGGGGGCATTAACCGATCGCGCCCGCGCGGGGAGGTATTCTTTTCGGATATTAAATCTCTTCGGGAAGATAAAAAGCGCTTTATGACCTTCATTAATGAGCAGCCGCAAGAGCCTGTAAAATCAAACGCGCGCGGACGACGATCTCACCTAAAAACTGCCGTCAATTTATTACGACTGGCGTAAAAAAAAAAAGTCGCGCGTACGTTGTCCCGCTCTTATTCGCCGCAACGCTTTTCACTGCTCCACCACGTTATCGACGTTATTTTTCCCTCGTCGTCCGCGAGAACACGGAGCAATACGCACGATCGACGTTAATATACGCAACGACGTAATAAATATTTCGCGGAGCTATCTCGCGGGAAGATATCCCGTACAACCGGCAGTCGGTGGTATAGTCGACCCTCGCAAGGCAGCTGTGTTCATCTATGAAACAATTAGATCGGTCCAGGAGATATGGAAACATTGAGGCGACCCACTGTCTCCCCCCTCCCCCTCCCCCCTCCGTCTCCCCAAACCGTAACTTCCACCCGCACGACACGGACGACTGTACACGCGAACGTAAACCGGCTCTATCGCGCAGATCCATCTCGGTTAGCTGGTTATTTAGCCGTTTATGATCCGGCCGTGATGCACGCCGATGCTCGTGGATCTACAGGAGGCGCATATAAATTCAAAACTGGCTAACCTCGACGACGCCGCGTTTGTTTGTTGCAGCCCAGTGCATCGCGCCGCTCGGCATGGAGTCCGGGGCGATCCCGGACGCGGATATCAACGCCAGTTCCAGCTTCGACACCGGAAACGTCGGTCCCCACCTGGCACGGTAAGCGACAGTTTTTCATTCGGGGATAGCCTGCCTGGCCGCCATCGATCATTCGTATCTCTACCGGCGCCTTCTGTTGCGCTCGATGCACCCGCGATCTGGCTGCTATAACGCGTCCGATATCATAGGATCTGCGTAGAGATGCGTACAAAGAAAAAAAATCCTGTACGCGTCTTTTGCACGCGTAAATCAGACTCGAAATGCAATATGTATTCATAAAGACGATAAAGAATTTTACTTTTCTCCTGTCGTTTTTATTATTACAAAGTAATAAATTTGAGCATCGCTTTCTCCGCTCTTGGTTTTAACCTCCGTTTTAAAAGCAAAGCGGTGATTTTTTGTGTTGACAAGGTAAATATATCGTTTCGTGGAAGGGCTAATTGTAACGCCTCTACGCGCGCGCATGAATATCAAAAGCTCTCGCGAAACGCCCGGTTGTGCTCGTTAATACATAAAATCCGGAATATCAGGTTTATAAGTCTATGGCGAAAGACGTTATTACGCGCGAACAAAGAGAGCAACGCGGCCGCGAACGTAATTATTTCTGATCTAACGGGCGTAGCTTTAACGCTCGCTTATATGCGCGAAGACACCAACAACTAACGGAGATTAGTCGACGTCTCTTATCGTCGCGCCGTGAAACGAAAAAGTTACAACACCGACGACGGTGGCCGCGCGAGAGAAAGAGAAAGCTTATGAAATCTAATTATATAAATTAACGCCTATCCCTGCGGGAATATAAATTCTCGCAGCAACAACGTATAATTAAGTAATCCGCGTACCTTTCGGATAGCTATCGTTTCTCGTTTGGCACTTGCTCGCGCGAAATGAATATTTATAGAGCTGTTAAACCGATCGTCGATTTTCTCCCCCACCCCTGGTGAACGCCGGTTTGTTTTCTTCGATTTAAAAACAAATTTATTTTTAATCGCGCGGCTGACGAAAATTATTCGACGCGAATTTATGGTCGATCGGGGATTTGCCGGCCGTTGCGTTCTGTTTTGCGTTAATAATTTCTACGTCATTATTGGATACGCGTCGCGTGCTGTTTACGCTCGCAATTATTTATAACAACGACAACACTGTGTGATAGCTGCCGAAAACTTAAAAACCCTCGTTCTACATTTCCGAACAAATTAATATTTTAGTACGAGCTTTATTACAAATACACGTTTAACGTAACTTTTTGCTTTATACCGAGTTAATATACGATTAAGTACGACGGTAGAATTAATTTCATTCGAAATTAATTTCCACCTACATTTCGCCTCTACATTTTGTCTCGCTGTTTCGCCTCATTCGTACACCCCTTCCACAGCTCGCAAACATTCGCAAAATAGCTGTAGCGCAAAACAGGGATCGCCTTCAACAGACATGCCTCGCAGGAGACTCTCGTCCTCTAATGCAATTATCACAAAAGGACCTTTGACGTATCATATCTATTCTAAAAAGAGTATTACACCTGGCTACAGTGGTAAAAGGGTTGGTCGTGTAACGCCTCTGGTAGCCGCCGGTACAACGCATGAATACGAGATGCAACTGGCAGGGCGTACGTGCTCCAAACTAGCTTCTAAACCCCCGTTCTTCCTCTCTCCCTCGCTTTCTCGTTCGTCTCTCCCTCTCGCGTTTAGATATTAATGCGTGGGGCCCCGGTATTCGCCGGCGGTTTGCAGTGCACAGCGGCGGCTTTATACGAATATTCCATCCCACGGGACGCGTATCCCAGTCCGGCAGGCCGCGGTTGTAGAGAACCGAACCGGGTGCGCGCGCGAGGCACCACCAGGTCGTGGTATATACATGGAGCCGTTAGTCGACGGCCCCGCGGGCTCTCCGATATTAATACATTCCATTACCGCAGACAATGACCGGCTGAATGGGCCTCCGAGTCTTGATGAGCTCCGTTGCGCCCCCACACCCGGGATTCTCCTCCGGCCGTGCACGTCACCATCTAATTTAATACAGGCCGGCCTCGGGCGCGCGAGGTGCCGCGGACGTTTACAACTGCTCGTTCTTTCTCTCTTCTTTGCTTTTTTTTGTGTTGTAAAAAAAAAAAAAAAAAAAAAAAAGAAGAAAGGGAAGAGAGGGAATTGCCCCGCCATTTTCTTCGGAATTTTGCGAGATGATAGGCCGACGAACATTTTGCCCCCGATACGAATTACCACGGTTACGGCGCATTTTTCTTTCTCGCTCACCACCGGGCGTCGAGGGCGTGCGCTCGGGGAAAAAGATAGAGGAGGGGAAAAAAAAAAAATAGAAAATGTGAAGCCGAGTGTTTCACGAGCTTTCACGGACTCTCGTTGTACTGAAAACGTCCGCTGTCGTGAATTAAAACAACGCGTTTGGAGATGCGCGTCGGTTACACGAGAAAAATCTCTCGGAATGAAAACACTCGGAATATAAAATACACAAGTTGTTTATAATTTGAATATTGCATTAAGGTTGACGCGGAGCTCTTGCGTGGAAATATGTTAGAGGACAAATTTCACTCGCGCAATTTATCGTGCGATGATCATTTTGACGCTCCCAAAAAAATCTCTTTCGCGAGAGAGAACAAAAAGTTTCTGACATATGGAAGAAAGATTCGTTTTCCTCGAATACACGGCTTTGTTGATTTCAATCGAAATTGAAAATCTGATTTACACCACCGTTAGCTGCGATAAATCATCCGTGAATGGAAGAATAAATAGTTTTCGCGGAACGCGTATTTCGCGGAAGCTAATGGAGCGCGTCTTTTCCAATTATCGAATGAAAAATTTTTGACGTACAATCGGCGCGAAAAAGCAACATTGCATTTTCTACCGCACACGCTCCTTTCACGAATTGCGCAGCTGCAAGTTCTTTCGCACGTTTCCGCCATTCCTTTTCTTCGCATTTCCGTTCAACGGCATTTCTAGAATGGGTGCAATTAAGACGCCAAGTAGAGAGAGGAACATAGAACGAGCGAGATAGCAGTGCTCGGAGAAATTGGACGTTGGGTTGAGAAATAATCACGAGACGACTTTCGCCGCGTAATTTTTTGTGTTTGGAACGAAAATGTAGTACGCGTTTTAATTTATCCGCCGGACAAACTTTGATTATACGTGCTAATTACATCGATGCATATCATTAAGCTCGCAAATTTATTTTCAACAGGAGAACGGAATATTTAATTGTTATTATTCGCGTTGTAAATGTGTACTGTTAATATTACTAAACCTTTGAACGGTAATCGATGGTTGTTTCCATATATGTGCTTTCACCGCATACACTCAAACAGCTGGAAACATGATACGAACCATTTTCCTAAATAGAGGAACGGCAGGAAACTGCACGATACAAGATATTTACTTCGGAAAGAATGCGCCGGCGTCGAGTTAGCGAATTTTTACAGGCTCGCGTAATAGCTCTTACTTAGAGAGAGAGTCATTACTTGATACACTATAATTTAGAAAAGCACAGAGATAAGACGGTGGTTATAAAAGAGGCAGGCGCGCCGTTTATAGTCGCGGCCGACTTTTGCGCGTCAAGCGATACCAAAGTGGATTCCATTTTCGATCTTACTCCTTCTCAACATCGAGTTGAAACTTCAGAGAATGATTGGAATAGAGACGCCTGGAGCATCGCAGACAAAGAGCTCTCCAAAAATAGCCTCGGATCTAGCTGATGTTTCACGAATGTACCAGTGAAATGATGTGTCTGATATTTATTTCCTCTTCAAAACGTGCGTAACCAATATACACTTGAAACAATTTTAATTGAAAACAGTTAATTATTTTATTACACAAGTGTAATACAGTTGTAATAGACAAATTAATATCTAAAAATATTGACAAAGGCAAAAATATTGATATATATATTTTTTTTTACTTCTAATCTATTTAAATTAATATTCTAAATGTGTATATTACACAGAACATTCTTTTTTATTATATTTGATAAAAATATAAAGATAGCTAAAATATTTTTTCATGAAGGGAATAATTGAATCTGATTTCAAATAGATCCGGCTTAGTGATATTTAATCCTGCAATATTCACACTATAGAATGTATTTTACAACCTGTGGAAATAGCGGCGGAGACGAACAGCAAGTATTAGTAAAGATTCGATTGGCAAATTGCTGGGACCATCTTTTTGATAACATTTTTTGCGCGAGAGGTATGACTCGCTCATCTTACATCGGCTGGCGAAAATACGGCAGTCGTCGGGTTTATTGTCGCATCGCGATTAATTCGATTTAACTCGAATATATATATACTCGTATATATAGATATTATCAACAAAAGAGATTGAGTGTACCTCGACGACAGGAGCATTTCGCTATTTATTCGCGTCCGTGGAGAACTAGCTCGAAAACTTTGCGGGTAAATATTCGCGAATAATACTCGAAATTATCGCCTTATAAAAGCAGAATTTTTGAGACGAATTTAACGAGCAGAAATCGAGAAAATATGATTAAGAGATGAATGCAAAGTAGCATACGTCTAAGGAATAATTTCGTTCGGCGGATTCGTCCCCGGTCAACGAACCGATATTCTCTCTCGACCTGAATACTTAATTACACAGATAAAATTGTTCTGAGAGTACGCGAAATATCTAATTAAAATATTTTAATGTAATTAGCCAGTACGTAACATGAAGAATCCCTTCATAGTCGACTATATGTCGAAGATCATTATTGTCGTGCCATGTGCATTAAGTTGAAAAATAACTCCTCGCGTTTCTTCGTGACGATCATTCAATCCGTAACGATAACGCGCGATAAAAATTCCGCTGCGTGACAGATTCAATTTTCCCGTGACCGACAACGTCGTCGTCGAAACGGTAATAACGGCGAGTCCTTTTTTTTCACATCGAAATTAAATTCTGACCGCGGTTGACGGGACGGGTGCTATTGTCGTACGAAATTGCGCGCGAATCATTTTCCATCTTTTTCAATCGATCGTCGTGCTCCGCCACTCGCCGCCGGCGCGACGAGATGTCCGTCAATCTTCCCGATCTCGATGGTTTGCATAATGCAGACGGCGCGTTAACGCGCGCGAATAGAGAGCAGTCCCGCTGTCACGTGCCCGTTAATTCCGGCGAATGCGGAGAATCGGTCGCGAGGCGGTTGACGCGATGGAAAATTTAAGTTTGCCACGCCGCCCTTCTCTCGCCTCGCTCGATTTAATGCCGTCCGTCCGTGTCAGTCGTGCGGTGCGGACGACATGGAATCTTCGGTGGTTCGGCGTCGTGTCCCACCGTCGAGGGAACGATTATACCGGATCGTCTTTTTTTGGGGAACGCACGGGGACCACACACCTCGATTCTTCCTCTTGCCTCGCGACCACTCTCGGAAAGTTATTATAAATAGAACTACTTGCGAGAGAGCGCCGGTATTTTGAACACCACCGCGGATTTTTGACGATATAAAAGAAATAACGCGCGAAGTGAGATATTGTGTTTTCGTAGAAGCAAATTCGCGTTTGCATACATTTACATTTATTACATTTAGTTTAAATAGCGAAACTTTGTAATTTGGCATGGAGTTTTTATTAAAAAATCATATTCTTGCCGAAAGGTTAACATATTTATTTTGAAATAAATTCTTGCATTATGATATTTCTTATAATGCTTCTCTATAATTATAATGCATCAACATGTTGTGAAAAATTATCCATTTCTGTATAAAATACAGCGATATAATAGCAGTATATAATTATTTTATAATGCAAACTCATTTGTTTATTTTCCTTAATGATATGCATCATTATCAAGTAACATCGTATAATATTATATTCAACATCGTTGAATACATTTTCGTTTTAAACGTTCGTTCCCGTTAAACTCGCGCTGTTCAATCTCAATCCGTTTGGATCGCTAATATCATCGATATGGTACTAGAATGAAAATTAAAATTCACCAGTAGATTTTTATATAAATAATATCGACCAATATCCACACGCATATTAGAAATTCACGAAAAATATTTTCCCTTTACATATTTATCGAAAACATCCGTTACAAGCATAAACAAAATTTTTCCTGAAAATTCGCATCTATTATAACTATAACTCTTTTAGATCGTTCAAAGTTAATGCCTATTAAAATTTTTATAGAAAATTATATTTGCTTGCTGTATTGTTAAGGACTCTGTTAAAGTTTCTGTATACGAGCTTGTTAAAAATTTATATATTGAAATACATTGACATTTATGTAGCCTTATTTTCTCAAAAGGATAGACAGCTTCGTAGAAGTTGCGATTTGACATTGCTCCACCTTCAGCTAATCAGCCGGTACGAGCCGGTTGTTAACGATAAAGAGGTGCGCTTCCATTACGCAGGTTGTAAATCTGGCGAAAGCAGCCATAGCTATTATAACGACAAGCAGGCAGTCGCGTTATCATGCTCGGTTAGTGACGAACGCAAGGCATGATTATTAACACCTTGTGCATCAGCCGCGACGTAAACCTTGCGAGCATCGTAAACAGCTCTATTTATATTCCTCATTATCGAGAAAGATTATTATAATCATCTCGCGCGCATACACGTTTCATTATAATTTCTATCTCATTTAAATAGCAGTAAAAAAGGGCTCTCGTGTATAAACAGGATCGTCTTTTCATTGACGTAATGTCGCGAATTGTTGTCTTTCTCGCACGTTGAAATACGTTGGAAGCGCGCTATTTACGTCGAGTCTGCGAGATTGTTACTGCACAGCGATTCCTAATCTGCAATTTGAGAAGAATACACCTACCTGTATATAACTATACGTATTCTCGACGTATAACGTCGAAAAGGAGCACCATTCTTAGTCGAGCATTTAAACGGTCCACGCAATTAGGGAAGGCGCTTCGCGCTTCATGTTTTATTCATGCTGGCCCCGGCACAGAGCTCTCCTTGCCTTGCTTTCGACCCTTCGAAGATTAAAACCGAAGCACAGCTTGTGAACGTATAAATGGCCGCGTATCCACCGCCGACCCGTATCACCCGCGTGAGATGACACGTGGTCACTCGCGAATCTACGATTTCCCGCCTATATGTAAATTCTGCGACTATCGGGCCGGACTTTGGAAATCTCGATAAGCTTCCGGATTTTCGGTAATTTCGAGAGAACGAGCGGCGAATCGAAAAGCCTACTCTTTTCGTTTGCATTTGCGACTATTCATCACTTCTCTTTCTCGTGTTCTCCTAGCTCTTACTAACGAATAATATATCCTTTAAATCTTGGGTTTCGTAATAGTTTGATAATATTAATGATATAATATTTATGACACGGTAATTTATATTATTTTATATCATTTTTCCGTAATCTTTATGTATAGTTTTCTACAAACATTGTCGAATTGTTACAAGAACGCGCGTTTTCTCCCGAGAAAAGAGGGCACAAAGAATTCGAAATATCCTTTTATTCTAATTCCAAATCTTTCAAGCTTCGTTAAAATGCAATTCGGATTCACGTTGTGTGCGCAACCCGTATGGCGTCAGCGAAATAACGTTCGAAAGAGAGAGAGAGAAAGAGAGAGCACGAAATCTCCGAGTTCTCGCGCACGTAAATGCGATAATATCGGAATTCGGTGCGAGGACTTCAATGGTCGACCGCGCGTCGGTTGATCTTCAGATAGCGCAAGATGAACGGTGCTGGCGAGGAACTAACGCGATACTTTCACATCTAATTAGATCGTTACTTTTATGAGCGGACCGAACCGAAAACGTACACGGCTGCTCGGAATTTGATGGCATTTTAAATCGATGATCGGACGGGAAGCATATTGCTAAGAATACGAATCGTTTGTATAATTTTAAACGTCTCAGCGTAAATAGCGGCTAAACTGTGTTAAATTTAAAAGTTTAATCAAACTTTTTTACAACTTCTGAATTTTAAATAAAGACACGTGGGAGTTATAAAAAATAATAAACAGCATTTACGCAGGAGATTTATACATATATACATTTAAAAAAAAATTCTTTTTGGAATTATTAAAGAAAATTAATTAAAAGTGAATTCAATACTCGACTATTGATGTTATAGATTGAAATCGGAGACCCTTGGTGGCGCCTGGTGTCCTAAGGACCAAATCACCAACGAAGCTCGAGAATGGCTGGAGATCGACCTTCATTCGATCCACTTGATCACGGCCACCGCTACCCAAGGCCGTTTCGGGAACGGCGTGGGTGTTGAATTCGCAGAGGCATATCTGCTAGAATACTGGAGGCCGCGACTGGGTAAATGGGTTCGATATAGAGACATCAAAGGAGAGGAGGTGAGCGCCTTAACTTAATTAAAGATTCTCTATCGTAGCGCTAGATTACCGGTCCGTAGTTAGAACGCTGCCGCGAAGTTGTTCGGCATTTTCCGAACCGAGTTGTTAAGTCCGACTGATTGGATTCTCTATTACCTGCTTATTACCTTATTAAATCCATTACCATGTTTAATCCAATAATAAATTGTTAAAATAGAGAAATTATACTAATAGTTCTTTTGCCTTAATCATAAATGTGTGCTTTGTATATGTGCACATTTTAAATTTATATATATATATCGTTTAATTATGTATCTTTCGCGCACATATTCTGCAATTTTTATTAACAATAATTTGCAACATATATATACGAGAGATATTTATAGAAGAGAATAAGGATCCTATCAATCCAAAAATTTTTCTTCGACTTCTCATATTTTTATATCGAATACGAGAAATTGAAAAGCGATACGAAAAAGCAACGAGGTTCTTGAAAATTGACAAAACGTCACAGATCGATGCACGCGGTCCATTTTGATAAAAACGCTCGCCGCTATCGTGCTTTATGTTGCGATGCCGGCGCGGATTCGCGCGTTTATCGGTGCCAATTGCAGCAGCTGCCAGTTTCAGGGCAACGGTCGAAATAGGCCCGGTCTCGAGCTACTGGGCATTGACCCGAAATAATCGCTCCTCCGACTAAGGTGTCGAGATCGTTATTCCGGTATATCCGGACAGGGCAGCGCGTTCCGTTCCAAGGCAGAAGCTTTAGGGCAACGTGGCTGCGCGGAGCGAGCGCGACTTCAAAGTGTTCGGCTGACGATCGAGAATCGATTGCGGGATTATCCTTGTTCGAAATGTAAGCCGCTTATCGCGAATCCGTGGGCTAATTTCGTAACGTCGGTGCGCGCCACTTTGTCGAAACCCGGCCTGTACACTACCGGTAGATACTACGCCTCAAGCCTTCGGCTTGTCTGCTCGCGAGGGCAAATCCGTTGCGCGAGTCTCTCGACAACTAACGGCGAAACCTGTGTTGAAGTATTAGCGGGAGCAGCTGCGGTGAGCGGAACGAGTTTGTGATGGACGCCGTAAAGTTAGGATACCCTGCATTACGTGTAGTATGCATTAGCGGCAGTATATTCCGTTCATATCTGTACCAACGAACCGCGATCGATGCGCTTACTAACCGCGCTTAGGGCATTTTCCAGATTGAACCTCTCGCAAATATAAAGACCCCTCAAGCTTAACTACAGTTCTCCGTGATCCGGCAAAGCTCTTTGAACAGAAACGATTTATATCTCGCTGCGAAATAATGCTTTATGACGAAAGTATTTTCCTCCCGACTCGTAAACGCTTTACATTTAGTTAAATAGTCAAATAGATAAACGCGCTTTCGGAAGAAGCGATCTATAGGTAACGTTTAAAAAAAAAAAAAAACACCCCATATATACTCGTGTTCAAACGATCAGCCGGGGACTCGCTCGGAATAGATTCTGTCCACATGATGGCGACTGCAAACATCAAATGAGGCCCCGATATCGTTTACCTTTGAGGGAGCCGCGCACCGCGAGCATCGCCAACGGCGACGGGACACGTTCCCGGTGAACTTAATGTCGTCTACCATCATCGTCGAGCCAATGTTTATGGACCACGTCGCCGTCGCTATTACGACACTTTAAGCCTCGTTCACCGGCGCGTCCCCTCGGGCGCGATTCCGTAGCGGCGCAACATGCTCCCCACTCATTAATGCACCGATGATCCCTGGTCTCGCTTTTACGGCGCTAAGAAGAGGCGATACACGTCCTGAAAGGCGAGACGAAAAATCTCGCCTAACCGCTAGGTAAATTGGCCATCCGATCAGCCGTCTCTATACGCCCGCCTGTCCGGTTACGATCTTATTAATATTGATGGACCATCCGCGCCGGCGCTAATGCGCCGGGGGACCGCGTGACTTCGTCGTGTCCCCCTTCTCGTCGTCGAGAAGGCACCTCGCGTGTCGCGCGATTAACTTCATGATTATTCAGTACTTTATGATTATCCCGCTCGGTTTTCTGCCTCGAAAGCAACCCTCCTGGAAATATGTTTGGTCAACAATTCGGTCGAAATTTTCATGATTATTTAATTTTAATTAACGGACTGATTTACCCTCTGGTGTGCGCGTTCAATTATAACAATTAATAACTAATTTTTTAATCAACAGGAAAAAAGAACTTTTTTGCAGTTTTCTTAATATCATTTTCATCAAACAAAAAATTAGTATTTTTTGCTACGCATATTAATATGATTATCTCGAAAATATGCGAACAACAGAAAAACGATCAAAAATATTGACTTAAACGCATGATTAATGGCGTGCAATTGAACAGGTGCTAACATGACGTGATCTAAAATTCCACCCCGAGATACAGTTCCTCGAGCGTGTGACATATCCCGGCTCATCACTATTCATTGCCTTATTATCAACCTGGCGTATGTAATCCTTTTGGAACGCATTCACACGTAAGGAGTTGCTCGTGTGTAAAATTCCGCGACGCGGTTAGCAATCGGGGGGAAAAACGACGATGACGCTGATCGAACATTTCAGTACCGTATAGATTTGTCTTTTTCGAGAGACCAGCTATTCGTTATCGATCGAACGTATCTCTATATCTGGCGTCCGATTACTATCTTGTTAATATTGATAGCCAGCTTGCGTCGGCGCTAATGCACCGGAGGATTCTGCCTCTCCGTTGCACATACTGAAGATGATGTCTATCGTCATCGGTGCTCAACCGCGTAATTTCATGCAAACGTTGTATAATCCCTTCTATCTCATGATTATTCATCGCTTTATCGTTAAACATAATTCGATTATTAATCTTGATACAGTTTTCTGATTATAAACGAAATCTATTAACGCGATTAATAATTGATTTGAGATTTACCCCATCGTAAAAAAATAACCGAAAAAGGATAATAGAATTAAACCGTTATATTCATATACTAAAAGATTCAAATGTTTTTATCAATTTTGTTGTAAGTGAAATATTGTTGCAATCTGACAATTGCTATAACAAAAAGACACATTGATAATTTATGCATAAAAAATATTCCATGTTGCTCTGATTTAAAATATTGTATGTATACAATATATCAGCAGAGAGATATTTATTAATAATTTTTTTAATCTCTTTTAATAAAATTGGAAAGAAATATTTTTTCTTTGAAGATAAACGTAAAGTGGTTATGCAGAGAAATTCGACTAATTATTGTACGACGAAATGAGATTAACTTGGCAGACGCTTGCAGAAGGAAGCGAAATTTTTGCTTCCGCAGCAAATATACCTGAGACAGCAAATATTCTCTTTCCCGCGTACCACGCTGCGGGAAATTTTTCCAGCGAGTTTCACATAGATACCCGGACGAGAGAAGAAAAACGAAGATTCGTGCGCTAAGCTTGGCGATAAGAAACCATGAGGTCCTTAACAGTTTCGAGAACAAAAGAGGAGTCCTAATCTTTTTTCCGATGTACGCAGTTGTGTGCGCGTGCGAGGTGCATCGCACGCACACCGAGGTGAAATGACGCGAATAGAAAGAAAGAATACTAATAATAATTGTGACGAAAAAAGGGGATGAAAGACGCAGGCACTACAGCTTCAAAAGGCCGTCAGAGGTAATTAAAGCTCGAGGCGCGATTTTTCTCTCGCTCCCTCTTTCTCTTCTCTCCTTCTCTCTCTCTCTCTTTTCCATCTTTCATCCCCTCTCGCGCGCGCACTATCGCGCGAAGAAAGAGAGAAACACCTTCTAACTCCTTCCACCGCGCGGCTGCAACGCTCGTCTCAATAATAAATACCCCACGTCAAAAACCGACCCCACTTCTCATTAGTCTACGCGGCACGGCATGCTTCCATCGACCGTGCTCCATCGACGGACGCGAGATTAAATAGATTTTCTTGGAATCTCCGGCGTAGTAAATTTGCCCAAGTGCAGCTTGCGCAGTTCGCAGCCTGCAGGAAATGATACGTTCCGCGAGAAGTAGAGAAGTTTTCTCGAAATGATGATATTTTTTTTTTCTCACTCAATTTCTCAGTTTTTTTAACGAATATATGATGTACATTTTCCCTATATCATCGAAATATCATGATTAATGCGATTAAACAGAACGATTCAAGAGAAAGTTTGAGAATAATAGAACTCTATTTTATATAGAAAAATCGATATATACTTGAAAAATAATTTATTTTATAAAGTTCATTAATATAATTGCGCGCATGTATTTTTTATTGTCAACAAAGTTTGAAATAAGTGATCTCAAATACACAATAACCGCTTTAATATATTATTATACGGGTTGTTAATATGTGAGAAAAACGAGTAATTATAGAAAAAAAGTAATTATGGCTAAAATTATTGCAGCACGATGTGATTTAATAACAAAGAGAAATAAGAATAAGATATATGTTTCAAAATTATAAATCGTTTCTTGTGTATGAAAAAGTATGCAATTTTTTAATAAGATAATTATCTTTAATAAGATAATTGTTTTATATATGGAAGCTCCTTCATATTTCCTAAATAATGCCTTATCTTAATTTCCCCACAACATCCGTAATTAATTTTCCAAACTTGCATATTATCCCGAATACACCGCCGCTGAATTTTCTCTTGAAAACATTAATCTCTTTTTTAGTACTAATTACACACTTTCATGTTTCTATATATGCTATTGGTGTACTTTTAATCAGCACATCAAAGTCCATCCTTTGAGCTGCAAACATCGTTAACAAACATTATCCAACAACAGTTTGTGGATTCTGATTGCAAACAGATGAAGTGTATTCTGTATACGAATTGTATATTACAGCGTTTTCACATTTTCCAAACTGCTCAGTTCGAAACATCTGTTGTGTTTAAGTAAAAATATATAACTAAAAAAATATTTGCGCAACTTATATATTTTTTTGCCAAGAAAACATGGCTATAAAAAAAAGTAGTTATTCTCAGTCACAATAAAATAAGGATCTTTTAAAAGACGACGCTATAGA